ATTGAAATGAGATAAATAGTAAATGTATACTAATGCTGCCTAGATATATCTCTAATGTTCCTACACCTGCTAATCTTATTATTCTTTCTGTAGAAAGGGCTGCTAGAAGGAAACTATTTGAGAGCCTTGTTACATGGCAATTTTGGGAGGCTTCTGGAGCTCTTACCCCTGGATTGTCTGTGTATTAACACCATAACGTGGTTTTAAGCACTAGTTGTGCAGCTTAAAGTTATGCTAGTCCAGTGCAGGATTAAAGCGTGGCCACTCCTCACAGATGTGCCACCTAAATTGAAAGTTCTCCAGTACTGCAGGATCTCTCACATGCATGAATGATGCGTGCTGCCGGTGGATGGGGTGGTGCTGGCAGTGGCAGGAGTATGGCGGTGGTAAGTGGGGAGCTCCCACAAACGCTGTCAGCACTGTTGGCAGCAGTAGCGGTGTGGCGAGCGTCAACCAGGGGTTAGCGACCACCCGCAGACACTGCTGGCAGCATCGGCAGTGGCCAGCGGCGATTGCTGTCTGCCCACAGATGCTGCCGGCAGTATCAGCGGTGCTTTTTTGTAGGGGGTGCACATGCACCTTCCTGCACCCCCTATGCATCACCAATGCTCACGCCCCTGCCTGAAGAGCAGGTAAGAAGCCTATCCTGGCTGACCAGCCCTCTAGTGGCAATTCACAGCTCCAGCTCCTAGTCCTGGGCCTGCTCACTAGGCCTCTGGTGGCAAGTCATAGCTGTGCAGGTCGGGGACAGTCAGAGAAGGCTCCTAGGCTAAGGGCGTGACTGCTCCAAATTCCAAGCTAGCACTAACACCAGTCAACATTTGTGCAGCTCACGGGATAAGGTGAAGCAAGACTCTGAATTGCCTTTGGGAAGGGAGTTGAACTGCCCACACTCTGAGCCCAACCCTCTCCTGATTTCCAGCCCATCCTCTAGCCTCAGGTAAGCGCTTCCCTTTGGCTTGTGAAACAGTGGGGCAATATATAGGACCTAAATTTATCTGGGAAAATTACCATGCTTGTCTGGGGAAGTTTGCTATCCTTGTGCTTTCGTTCCAGAAAGTACGATTTGTTTTGTCTCATTCACTTTGAAAGGAAGACTGGGGAAAGTTGCTAACATCTGACAAAGGTAATACCTCTTTTTTGGCTGATTAAAAGTATATATGTTTGACTGTTACTGTGTGTAATAAGGTACTTCATAGTTGTTCTCAAGGTTGTAGTGGGGTAGCTAAGGATTAGGGGTGTGTGAAGCAGGCCCTATTCAATTCAAATTTGACCCAAATCAGGGACAGTGATTCAATTAGTTGATTCAGATCACTGTCCCTGATTCAATTCAGCCAAATCCGAATCTGAAGATTCGATGCTGATTCGGAGAATCAGTGATTCGGACATAGACACAGCTTTAAAAGGTTTTTCTACATACCTTGAGATAGCAGGCACGGCTCATGATCGCTGCAATGCAAGGGTGCATGGAGTGTCCCACAGGAGTGCGGGGGGGCCCTCCACATGCTCGGCAGCGAACCCAGAAGTGGACCGGAAGTATTTCCGGTCCACTTCCGGGTCTGCTGGGGAGCGCACCAGAAGGGGCCCCATGTCCCCCCCGGCTCAGCAATTGACCACAGAGGGACCCCAGGTGCCCCCCCAGACCCAGGAGGCACCAGTCACTGAGCTGGGAGATGAGTGGGGGGCCCCCCTGCGCATTCCCTGGCAGACCTGGAAGTGGACTGGAAGTGCTTCTGGTCCACTTCCAGGTCTCCTGCCGAGCACACTGGGGAGCCCCCCGTGCTTCTGTGGGACACTTCATGCACCCCAGCATCGCAGCATTCATGAGCCCCTGATACCTAGAGGTATGTAGAAAAAAACATTTAAAGACATCTCTATGTCTGAATCTCTCCAAATCAATTCAGAGAGATTAAAGTGTCCTCTGATTCGATTTGGATTCAGAGATTTGGCCACCAAATCAGACCAAAACTCCACCAAATTGAATCAGGGACCGAAGCTTCACACGGCCCTACTAAGGATGCACCTACAATAGTTGAACTTAATCATATGTAGTCATGAGCATGCATAGGAGGCTTGAATGAAACCCTGCAAAAAGCCTCTACAAACTGAAGGAAATAGAGTTATACAATAGGTATTGGAACTAAATCTTATCTGATTGGAACTCTTACACCGCACTGAAAATTCAGCAAGAATACTCTCATGCTCTCCGAAACTGATGAATTCCCTTGTACTGACAGTTTTGGTTTTCTTTCAAGATATTTTATGTAACATTCTCCAGGTAAAAGGATTTCTTTTCCCCAGGAGATTGTGTACTTGACTAGAAGACTAGAATGGGATGTAAGTGGCAGGTGTCAGTAATTACATTTTTCAAATATAGGAACCAACCTGTTGCACTCAGCTTTCAGTTTGTTCTTGTGGTTAACTAGTGGAAGGGAAAACATTTTACAGTTTTAAGCTATAAGGTGGTGTGTTTGACACAGTAATAATCATTCTATTTCTTCTTCTTTAGAGGAGAAGAGGAGGTTTGTTCTTTTCCTTGCTAATTTAAATGTAATTCCTATTTAGCAATGCGAGTCACTTTAAAATTGTATGGATATCAGCAAATTTCTCTTATGAGTTTCAAAGTATAAAAGAAAATTACAGGTCTCAGGTTTTCTGCTCTGTTAGCTTTATGCCACTGTAGCTCTGTTTAACTCAATTAAATGATTTTGGTGTTAAACTGGTGTAGTAGAATGGGAAGTCTGGTATTCACTTGGTTGGGCCTAAAGTTTAAAAAAAAGTAAGTAATACTGAACACAGAAGTTATAAAATAAAACTAAGCAGTGGCAGTTTGTAACTATATGTTCTCTAAACTAGATTTTCTGGTGCTTTTTTGTGCCAGTGCAGACAAAATGGGCAGCTGTTAATCTCCCTGGGTTTAGGAGTGCTTAGCTGACAGAGACACCATGCTATGCTCCTGTAACTTCCCAGTTTGATCCTGCTGTAGGATAGTGGTGTAGGTGCTTAGGAGGAAATGTGTCTGCAGCACAGTACAAAGCCGAACTTAGGGATAGATGACGTGGGTGGCCAACGTCAGTCACATTGGGTGGCACCAAACATATACACATGCACAGCAGCACACAGCCCTGACAGGTCAGTGACACTGCTGCAGGCAGAGGCAGGCAAACAAGGGTTTGGGGCGCAGTCCAGCAGGGAGGCAGAGCTACAGGTACTGCCTGTACAGCTACAGCAACTCTCTCCAGTCTCTGCTCAGGAGGAACTGGTCTGGGAAGTCTGGGCCCCACTGGAGTGTGCCCCACATTCCTACCTGCTTGCCTCTGTCTGCAGCTGCACCACTGATGTGTGCAGGGCGGAGAGCAAAATACAAGTTCATTCAGGGTGCCATTTTCCCTAAGGCCGGCTCTGGTGATACAGCATTCTGAACTGCTGCATACTCTTTTGGTTTGCTGTAATGAATGCTTGAACCAAGGTAAAGCAATATCCACTCTAAACCCTGAATATCAGTGACATTCTTTCCCAGGTTCAGGAGAGCAGAGGCAATATTTATATATAAAAAAATCATGAAATGGTGTAATTCACCTCTCACTTAACCTACTTGTACATTGATGTAAACTCAAGTGATGCCACTGTGAAAGCTGATGTCACACAGACTGAGAGCGGAGTGCAGCAGGTTGGATTTGCATTCTGGTCAATGAGAGCCAATAATTGATTGGATTATTCTACAGCAAAGACATATCTGGTGTACCCCAAAAAATTAGCTGGCATAGCTATGGTGGAACAAGTTATTCTGCAGTAACCATTCTAAAGTGGCTCTTCATATGGATGCTCTTTTGGACTAAAAAAATCTTTATTCAAGAATAGTTGGTGCACTTGCAAGAAGGACTGATTATTCCGGAATAAAGTTGATTTTATTACAGAACAGAGTAAACACGGCTGCTGACAAGGATGGTTTTGCATGAGAACAACTAGGAACTGGGTAGAGACCACAAATTCAATTGCATAGGTATCCAAATAGGCATCAAATGGTAACAACTTTTGATGTTTACAGTTATGAGCAAGGACTCAGAAACTGGGAAAAGGTGATCCATACTAGTGGTTTGGAGCATTTTCTATATATACCCTTCTATACCAGTTCTATATCTTGGGCGCAGGACATCCCAAACCTGACTGCTGGTGAGCGGGAGGCTATAAATGAAGAGGGATCCTACTTATGCCATGTTTCTTGTACTCTTCTTTTAAAGCAGGGGTGTCAAATTTACAGCCCACAGGCTGGATCCAGCGCACAGAGCCATGTTTTCTGGCCCGTGACATTCCTAAAGGGGCCAGGAATTTGAGGTGAGGCAAGCAACAGTTACGTTAATCCCTATGTCATTGCTCCCACATCCAGATCTAGCCTGCAAGGAGCCCCATGGCCCCAGTCCATGCTGGGGGACTGAGTGAAATTTACACCCCTGCTTTAAAGTATCAGCTACTTGCCCTTGTCCAAGAAAAGATACTAGGCTAAGGTGGACCTTTGATCTGATCTAGTATGGCAGTTCTTATGTTCTTATTCCTTGTTTTGATGTTATATAAACTCATACATTTTTCGTTCTTGGAGGCTATGCTAATATCTATATATAATATATCAATTTATGTAAAGCTTGTAAATCTTTCCAGGATAGAAAGCACTAAAATAATTTACTTATAAACTATACATTGCAGATGACAGTGTTATGATTGCAGAATGTTGTTATTTCAGATAGAAATAAAACAAAAATTACATGCAAATTGCGATTAGAAAAAAAAGACTAAAATTTGGAATGAGCATTCATATTCGTTACTCATTGTACTTAGAAATCTTGAAATTAGTAATATGATTTATATTTAGATGTTCTGAAGAAATTATAATAAAGGAAAACAATGTTCTCATTAATGTATTTTTTAACCAAAAACTTAGCGAAGCTCTCACCATCTCAGAGTACTATGGAAGTGTTTTCAAAATCATCTCTCATTTTGTAGACATGGTGCAAAATAAGTGCAATGGGGTAATGCCCAACTGGAGACAACCATCTGACTACAGCCTGAATGGACATGTTGGAGCTGTGCTTAAAAGAAGCAAAAAGGCTGTGGTGACAGGAGGTGGAGGCTACTTTGGATATAGTCTTGGGTGTGCTCTTGCCAAATCAGGGGTCACCGTCACTCTGTTTGATGTACAGAAACCTAAATGGAAAATTCCTAATGGAGTCGTGTTTTTCCAGGTATCATGAAGTTTCATTTTCTACAGCAGTGATGTTAAAATAAGTGTTACATTTCTGTGTACTTTAGCAATTTTAATCGCTCAGTTCCATAAACAGAATAGCTATAAGCAATATTAAGGACCTCTTCAGAAGATTTCAGCTGCTATGTATGTCACTTTCCAAAGACCTCAAATGGTATAAATTAAGTGGAGCTGACCTACAAGCAGAAAGGAGCAAGAGAGTGGTTTGAATAACTGACAGTTGCAGCTTGTCTATGTCCTGACTCTGCAGATACGATGTGACTTTTGGGCCAGTCACTTCACCAATCTCTGTTTTGGTGTAACCATTTGTAAAATTAAAAGAGCTAATCTTACACAGGTAGCTGGAATGTCAGATTAAAAATGCCCACAGACCAAGATAGTATTCTAGCAACTGTCTGGCAGAAGTTTGAATCAAATTTGACGTTTGTACTTTACCACTCACCACTTATTAACCGTTTCATGTTTTGGTATCTATCTGTATAGCTAACCTGAAGCTCAGAACTGTGTCAACTGAACAGGCAATTTCATTGGGCATGTCTATGCATGCCCTACAGCACTGTTGCTACTGTACCCTCCTTTAGTAAGTACTAAATGACGGCATAGTAATAGCCATTACTGTGCTGTGCCAGCAGCACACGGTTATTTTAAGCTGCGCCTGCGCTGTAGCAGTATGCTATATCACAGGAGCATGTTGCTACGGTGACATTGTTGTAATGTCATGGTTTGTGCCAGTCAATGCTACATTGCTGTAGTGCGTTGCTATCCACTGGGTGCATCTACATTACATTAATGTGCCTTAAATACTGCACATTTAGGGAGTTTTTGGCATGCTCCAGAAAGGGGGGGGGGGGGGGGGGGCACTTTAATTAGTGGAGCTCCAAGAGCCATGCTAATTAAAAGCACCCAGAGCATCATGTGTATCAGTGTCCCCATGCTGAAAAATGGTGGTGGGGTGCTTTGAACTCAAGCTCGTCAAACGTGCTTTAGTTTAAAGTGCCCTGCCACCATTTTTCAGTGCCGGGACACTAATA